TCCCTTATAAAGAGATAACTGAAGAAGAAGCTGTCCATGAGGATACAGGTGAACCAATATTTACTGTTTTTTTTTCTCTTTTAAACAGGGTCTTAATTAGCTTCATATGGCTTTAGCCTAGCTATGTAACTGGCCTTGAATCCGTGGTCCTCCTGACTCTGCCTCCCAGTGTTGGGATTCAAGTGTGTACCACCATAGTTGGCTTTACAATCATTTTTAATGAGATCAATGAGACAGGCTCTCCCTATGTAATCCGGGCTGCCCTGGAATTCAGCATGTACACCAAGCACAAAGCAGTTCTGCTTCGTTTCTTCCCAGGTGCTGCATTAAAGACTTGTTCCACCACATCTGGGTTGGTTTTCTTTCCTATTTCCTGGGGGTATACGAAAGTGCATCTCTGAGTGTGTGCTCATATGGGTATGTGTGTACCTGTGAGGACGCACAAAGAAGCCACAGGTCAACCTCTAGTCTTGTTCCTTAGGAACCATCCACTGTTTTTTGAGATAGGGTCTCCCACTGGCCTAGAGTTCACCAATTAGGCGAGGCCGGCTGGTAAGCTCAGGGGATTGTCCTTTCTCTCTAGAGCTGGGATTACATACCAGTACAGTTAGCTTTTTATTGTTCATTCTGGGGTTCCAACTCAGGTCCTCAGGCCTGTGGGCACAGACTGAGCTATCCTCCAAGGCCCCAAGTTTTATTTTTGATATTTTCACTTTCTTCTTATCTATCTCATCAGATACTAATCCCAAGATTATTACTGTTCTACACTGAACAAAGATTTGTTGCAAGTTTTGTGTTTTTTAGGTGATGGAATTACATGCGTGGCTCTGTGGTTGCCGGGTGATATGGAGGGGGAATCATGAACAACAAAACTGAAAATATAAATTGGGACCCCAAAATAGCAGGCTTTGAGCTGCATGTTATGGGGCTAGGCACTGTCTGCCAGAAGAGATGACCACTGGAAGCTCCAGCACTGGAAAGTCATTTTGTCTGTGCTTTAGGGATGTCCCTGACATGCTCAAGTAAAATCTCTTGACAGCAGTATTCCTATGCACCTTACACTCATCTTTACAAGACTAAGCAAAAGAACAAGTTACTGGATGGAAGAGCTGGGGAGGAATAAGGACATGGGCAGAAAGATCAGGATGGAATGGAAAGGAAAATCAGGAACGTCTTACAAGGACATGCTCGAAAGGATTCGGTGACTGAATGTCAGAGCCAAGGAAGCCAGCCGGGGAGAAGGGGAGACTCTGAGGCAGCTGGCTTGGATGACAGCTTGGGTGGGGGATGGGTGGGGAGGTTGTCATCAACAGAAATAGAAAACAGGCTAGGAAAACAAGTTTGAAGATTGGTGGGAACAATGCATCTGATTTTAGTTCAGTGAGTCTGCACCGAGGTGGGACTATCTGGCTGGTGAGTAAAAACAGTCCTGGAGTTGATCGGAGGTCAAGATCAAAGACCAAACGCCTTGTGCAAGGAGTCCTATCAATCACGGGGATGAGAGGACTCTTGGCCGTGGGTGAAATCATCCTCGGGGAATGTGTTGATCAAGAAAGACTGGCCAGTCACAGGATTTGGGAAAACATCCACACTAACAGACTGGTTCTAGAACAGGAAACTGGGAAAGACAACAGGGAAAATGGGGGGAGAAACAGCATGAAAATCCTGTGTCATGAAAGGTACCAGAAGGCTCCAAAGGCCCTGCCGCCACCTCAGACCCACGAGAGGGAATGGTGAACTGAGGTCTGAAGGGGCTGGTGTGTCTGCCCATTGGCAGCTCACAAGTAACTGCAGTAGCAGAGAAGCCCAGAGTGGGGCCAATGACGGCTCAGAGAAAGGTCGGGATAGGAATGCTGCCCCTATCTTGTTCCATCTTCAACTGCTGCTTCTTTCTCTCTTTGGAAGTCTTCTCTGCTGCCCCACAAATGCTAATGACACCTAGGGCTCTGTCCTTGGCTGGAAGCTCACAGAGGGAAAGGTTCTCTGGGTTTCAAATGACAGAAAGCAGCTCCAACTGGCTTGAGCAGAAAGATTTATTGGGAGGTTGCAGTTACCTCACAGGACCCAAAGCACTATGACTGGGTCTTGCATTCAAGCTCTGAGGAGAAACCAAGCACCACGGGGCTGCTTCTCCTTCACTGCTCTCTCTCTCTCAGTCTATTTTTAAGCCCCTCTATGCTCACGGCAAAGCAGCTGCTTGGATTTTCCAGGCCTTGTGACTGAAAATGTATGCCTGCTCCCCGTGCGTGAGTCATAGCCACTCAGAGCAGCATCTAAACTGCATTTCCAGTCTTGATGTCCTCCGAGAGCCGAGACAGATTATCATCAAGAACAGAAGCCTACCTTTCAGGTCACCCAGGCTGGCATCAGACCAGCAAGGTCACACTGCACAGGCAGTGGTATGGGGACCGGGTCCTGGAAGAGAGGGGCTGGGGAAAGCTCGTCCCAGATAAGGAAGAGGATGAATCCTAAAAACAGGGGTTAAGGACAAGTAGGTGCATGGGCAGCTAGCTAGCTTCTGTCACCCTTTCGGTCTTCTTTCCTCTGAGAGCTGGGATATTCCTGAATGGCAAACTCTGGGGGGTGACCTTTTTCAAAGAGGTCCCAGCCAGAAAGACTGCCCAGGTCATCAATTGTTCTCTGACCAGCAATGAATAGCTGCCTGCACTTGAGCCCCCAGGAGACATGTCCATATTACCTCTGTGTGAACCAGAGCTGAGTGGGCTCAACCAGAGCCCATCCCTGGATGCTCTGAATTTGGATCTGGATGGATCATGGACCAGCGCTTCTTGAGGATGGTGTTAAGCTGCTGGCAACTTCAAGAAGGAAGGAGAACCTGGAGGTGCTAGTGTTGGGGGTTCCAGAACCTGGCTGCACCCTACCCTCCCTCCACTAGGTTTCATAAATTAGCTCATTGATTTTCTTTTCTTTGTAAATTTTCAAAGTAAATTTTCTTTGGGTAGTTTTCTGTCACTGAGATAAAATGTCTTGGCTGATCCAGTCATGGGAGTTGCATGATGGCGCTTTCCAGACTCACCTCCTGCTTCCTACATCTGTGTTAGAAAGTGACTACTCCCTTCTTCTTGCTCAGGATGAGCAGAATCCAATTAGGAGCGCAATACAGAAGTTTGGGACTCTGGCTGTTACTGAAGAATGGCTCTGTTAATAAATACTATACATATATATGTATATAAAATCCATGTACATACATATGTGTATTATATAACATACACATACGTTATATAACACATAAAATAAAATATAATAGTTATATGTATATAAACACATGTATGCATACAATATATATACATACATAATGCATATACAACACATATATTATATGTAATATATACATTTAATAGATATACACTATATACATACACATATAATATATACCATATATGTGTATATATATCACATGTATGTGTGTATATACAATATAATATACCATATATGTGGTATATATGGTATTTAATGTAATCTAAAGTATCTCTTTAATGTTTTGAGATCAGGATCTATGACACGGTTAGTCTCATGATGAAAACATTCGCTGAACAAAGTCAGAAACTGGATTACTGTCCACAAAGTCATAGACACTTCTCAGTGATACCAGTAATTCATTTCTGCCTCTGAAATAATATTTCATTCATGTGGAGAAATTATTTTCATTGCTTCTTCATTTAGTTTATGAATGTTTGACTAAGCCTTTAATTTTTAACAAACTCAGTTTGAGGATAATTTTAGATTTATAGAAAAATTATGAAAACAGTAGAAATCCTCTCTATCCGTCACCCAGTTTCTCCCGCCATCACAAGCAGCAGAGGACACCCAAGCTTGGTTCACCTGTACCGTCTGTCCCCGAGGGGCCCACTTAGGAGACTAAATTACATTCCAGTCAAGTTACATTTAGTCATCACATTTCCTTAGGCTCCTCTGGTTTTAGCACAGCTAATATCTTCATTTGTCTTAAGGCTATCTGCTAATAATTTATATGAGCATGAACTTGTTGAATGTTTGCTATACAAATTTATATTTTTACTTGATCTTTTAACACTTAACATTTAAAAAACATAAATGACATTAATTATTTTACAAATGTTAATGTTGTGAAACACAATGACAATCACAGTATTTCAGATTTAGTTTTGAATAGATGGTGTACTATATGCTCTGCCTCGATGTGGTCCAGGACAGTAGCCACTGGAGTCCAGGGCATGGTGGGGTGTGGAGACTCCTGACTCTAGGATGGCTGAAGCTTCCAGTGCACAGTGAAACTACCTAGAACCAGAACTATGCAGCAGAGGGCTGCTGGCCAGCTTCTCTAGCTAGCTTCTCTAAAGTAAGAAACCCGGGAGCAGGCCCAGGATATCCTAAAGTGACCCCGCCTCCCCCCCCCCCAAAAAAAAAATCAAACCCTTTTGCCCATTAAGACCCAAATTGCATTCTGGCCTTCTCTGTATAAAGAATGGCTGGTTACTCAGTCTGAGCTGCTTCTGCCTATGTTTTGCACACCGGTGCCCTGTGCATGGATCTGTACTTCAGGGACAACATTACCTAAGACAAGTCTTTGTTTTCCTAGCACCTGCTCATTGCTTGGACACAGTAAGCTTGACGTTCAGCTGAGGTGAAGCAAGGGACTAGCAATGACACCACTAGCAGAGCGAAGCGAACCTATCCCGGAGCTGATGAGAGTGAGGGACCCATGCGAAGTGAACAGAACCTCCAACCCGCAGGACGGAGGATGGAGAGCTGACAGGAGTAGAAAGGGAAAAAAAACAAAAACCCACTGGGTGGCACGGCCAGCAATAGCAGCCTGACTCAGAGCTGTAGAGACACTGAAGGAGATTCCCACCTCTAGGTCCAATATCAGCATTCAAAAACTATAACTGAGAGTTTACTCACAAGTACACAGTACCCTTCCTAGATTCTGTGTGACCTTCCACTAGATTACAATTCATCCATCTGTCCACAATCACCAAAATAGTTCACAAGCGTCTGGCTCATTTTGCCTGCCCATGGTTCATGGCGTATTCAAAGTCTCGGAAGCTGACGTGACCATCTGAGTCTTGATCTGCTTCCCTGGAAAACGAAACAAGAAGTTATTGACATAGTATTCCTGTCAGGATCTCCATATCAGCAGCTAACTAGACTTCTCCTTCTCTGTGTGTCAGCATGAGGGAGGAGCCAATCTTATCTTGAAGGCCTACGTTTCCTCCCGATACACTGCTGACACCTAAGGTATGAAGGAAAGAAGAGGTATTTTATTAAAACCTACAGAAACGCATATGCGGTGCATTTGAGGGATGGATCTTAATGCTATGCAAGAAAAGGAAGAATAAGGGGCTGAGGCTAAAACTGTTGTTAGAGTGTTTGACTACCATGCATGAAACCCTGGGTTTCATCCCTAAGGCTGCACGAAACTGGGAATAATGGGACACACCAGGATTATAGGTGGAGGCAGGAAGGTCAGAAGTTCAAGGTCAGTCTCATTTACATAGTGAGTTTGACGCCAGCCTGGGCTATATGTAACTCCATCTCAAACAAAAGTAGGCATAAATATTGTGCTAGTGGTCTGGAACACGGCATAACTATGTAATACACATACAATTACACACACACATATAATACAACAAAAACGTGTGATAAAATATATAAGAGAAAAAATGTTTTTAGCAGCAAATTGTGATGGTAACATCCTACACAGTCTGACATCCTATACAACACTGCCTTTACACCCCCAGACTGCAGAATCTTAGCACCAATTCTGGGATTGGCCCAGTTTACAAACAGAGCTACTGAGCCTTATGGAGACCTGGCTGTTTTCTAAGAATCTCACTGCTTGCTAGAAAGTCGTTCAAATGCAACTCAAACAAAGAGCGTGAAACTCTGAAGTAAGAACTCCATCATGTCTTGCTGTTGCCTCCCTATACAACCAAGAGAGCACCCAGAGAGAAGCTCCCCCATGGCTAACCACACATCCACGATTCCTGGATGGCTTCACTCGTCCTTGGAATCACTGTTAAATCCTCACAAATGCACACCAAGCTTTTCCCATGCCTACGAAGGCTGACGGAGGTGTGAGCCCTTGACTAAGGCTGTGGGAAGCCTCTGAGGGGGTGTCCATGGAACCTCTGAGACATGGGGTCTGTTCTCACAACAGGCAGTAGGGAATGGCACACGTTCTATGTGATTAAGATAAGGTCCATCGCCAAAGCACAAAACAACAGCAGCAGGAGAAGCAACAGCAGCAGCAGCAGCTCACTGGCTCTGCCACCAGTGAAAGAAACATCTCCTAAAGAGCACTTCTGAAAAGAAAGCTCACAACATTCCTCTTGGGGACATCCTGAAACAAGGAATGGCATGCCTTCTGTGGAGCTCCTGTGGTTGAAGCAAACGACATTCTGCAGAAAACAAATGGTATCAACCGTGACACGGGGTTTTTAAAAGCAAAGACTGGCCTAAGCAAGAAAGCCACTAATCACTGTAATAGTTTTAAAGCAGGCTTTTAAAATATTGAATTCTTAAAATAAACTTTCTGAATATTTCATGCCAAAGTCTCTGAAGTCTGTAATGGGTCTGGATAGAGTGATGATAATTTTTCATTCTTTGAAGTAGAGAGAGAGGGAGAGAGAAAAAAAAAACCCTACTTCTCTGCCCCAGGGCAAAAACCATGTTGCAGTATGTTGGGATAAAATGACTGCATACTGAGGAGGCTATTCGTTTTGTTGTATCTCTTGGTGAAATATACATGGTGATTTCATGATATACAGCACACAGAGTGTAATGTCAGATCTCTTCTAAGGGATTTAAAAATAATCACAGGATCGAACATCACTGACTACGGGATATAAACCACCCCTTTAATATAAAATTAGAGAACTGAAGAGTCTTCATATTGCCTAAGTATTTGACTAGATAAATAGCACCCCCTCCCTTTCTGCTCTGAATTGGTATGTCTGAACTGTAAATCCCCCAGAGTGGATAACCCAGAAGTGTACTACTAGGATAAAATGCTTCTGATGATATTTTGAATATGTTTTCGTTCATTCATTGGGCCATTGGGAGCCTGTAGAAAAACAAATCCCTCGGCTCACTTTTTTTTTCTGTAAACAACCTTTTGTAATTCTATTAATCTTTAATTATTCTTGTCTTTGCTACTACTTCCAACTGGAAGGTGGGTACACTGTCACCAGGAAATGTGAGAGGGGAAAGTTCATTTATAGGTCTCGAAGAGGGCATTCTATGTCCACACTGAATGGAGAGCTATCGGATATATCCTGTTTATATTTAGAATGAACAATATTCGATGCTTGTTGCTGTTTCACACACATATGGACAGATCTGGTTATTTCAACTTTAGCAATGAGGGAATTGAAGTTTCGGGGCTAAAAGTTTAAAAGCTATGACATACGGTTTTTATTCCCAGCCACAGTATTCTCGGAAAGACTGCGACCCTTGCACTTGATCGCAGCGTGATGGGAACAGATGGGCTGGTGGGCAGAGCTGGAGCTGTGGAGAGGGGAAAGCTGCCATTAAGCAAAAAGGAGCATCATTCCTGTTTACAGTGAAGCCTTCAAGCCTGGCTCTGAAGCGGGAACACACTGCTTTAGTGTCACCTGCAAATATTCTGCACCAAAATAGCTCATGACCTTTTACCCCCACTAGAAATAATCTCTGAGAGTGCAGGGACTTTTGCCCACAGCTGTCCCTACCTCTTAGCTCATAGCCGGCCATGGCTGTGTGTTAAACACATGAATTTACAGAATAAAAGGAGCTGGGGAAAGGGTGATAATATTATGGACAATGTACTACCTCCCAGGAGGTGTTGTGATTGAATAAGGAGATTTTCTTACCACTGTCAACAGACAGGAAAGAAGTCAGTGAAATAAAACACAGCTAAGGGGCCACCTCTAAACCACTACTCAGAGATTCAAGGGGAGCGGTACTGTGGTCCATCAACTGAATTAACTTACAGGGAGAGCTGAGAGCCAGATGCTCTCTGGAAATCTGCACGAGTATTGCAAAGTGTTTAGGTTCTTCCAGGGTATGGAGTGGGGTTCTATGCAACCCTCTCTGGACTCGGGAGTGCAGGAAGACCTTCAGTGACTGGATACAATGAGACTTTTAGGCAGAACTGGACAGGTCACCCGGCTGAACTCCAATGTCCCATTTCTATAACACAAGCATTCTTCCACCCACTCTGTCACACTGAAAAGTGCCCTACAGTTACTTTCATGAACATGAGAATCGTTGTTTTTTTTTTTTTTCTCCTTTACAAAGTTGGCTCCTGGATGTGGTGTGGCTTTTGGTAGCCAGAGTATGTACTTCCCTAACCAGAGACTGTGAGGCCTGAGCCTCAAGGAAGCCAGGGTTTCCCACTGTGATCTCTTGTGAGGCAAACCACAGTGTTGCCTATTAACTTGTGAGGGGAGACACAAGGTAATGTGTGTGTTCACCTGTGGGCGCACATGTGCGTGCAGGTGTGTTTGGAGGCCAGAAGATGAACCTTGGCTGCTGTTTCTCTTGCTGACCACCCAAGGCCATCACAGACACAGGCTGTGAGGAGCTTGAGGGCATGTGATGGGAGGATGAGGAGCAACCTGTCTGAGCAGAAGACAAACAGGGAGTCACATGGTCCATCAACTGAATTAACTCATGGAAGACTGAGCTGAGGGCCAGATGCTCTCAGGTGACACCTACCTTTTTATTTGAGGCAGGGTATCTCACTGGCTGGAAACTGACACCTGGGTTGGGGTGGGGGTAGCTGACTACTCAAGCAGTAGGGGTCTGCTTGTCTCTTCCTCCCCAGTGTCTGGATTATAAATGTGTGCCACCACACCCTCCCCCCCCCCTCATTTGCTCTCGCTCAGTGTGGGTTCTAGGGGATGGAACTCAGGTCCTTGAGCTTGCAAGGCTAGCACCTAATTAACTGAGCTGTCCACCCACTCCCAAGAGTTCTTACTTTAATAAAAAATATGTAAATAGTGTTTCTCTAAAGTACTAACTGTTTCTTATACGAAACATTTCTATTAGAACGATTTCTTAGAATGCCCTGAAAAAGTTGTTTTTGTTGTAAAATCATTTCAGAGTAACTCTTGGCAGGTTTCCAAAGGCAGATTTCAGACTGGCTTTTCCAAAGTTACTCAAGGAAGAAAGAGCAACTAAACAAAGAATCAAAGCGAGAAAGGCTTATAGATTGTATCACATTAAAACAATGCAATGTTCTTTATTAAAAATGGCATAAAGGCAATGGAAGTGACATTTTTAAACTGGAAACAAGAGTGCAAGCTAGTATCTTCATTACAGCTGCAGTCCTATAAATATCTATATGCATTTGAGTGGAAGTTAGAGGTTATATGCTAAACAGATTAGAGATGACTGGTGATGGGTAATTCTGTCTTAGAGCATTGTTTAAAGGCTGAGGAGATGGTTCAGTGGGTCAGGCAGCTGCTGCGCAAGCAGGAGACCAGAACACACAGTAGCACATATCTGTACCACAGCATCCTTTCAAGGAAACAGGAGGCAGAGACAGGAAGTGCAGGAATCTTGTGGGTCAGCAGCAAATAATAAACAGACTCGGTCTCCAACAAGGTAGAAGGTGAGACCCACACCCAAGACCTCTGACCTTCATGTGCAAGCCTGCACACACCCACAACGGTGAAAACATTAGAGTATCCTTTAGCGTTATACGTTTCTCCCTTTAGTCTGAACATCCCAAACAAATAGCCTGGCAAATCCTCATCAGCTAGAGCAGGGTTTCTCAGCCTCAGCAGAGACAGTTCTGCGCCAGAGTGCTGTGTCATAGCAGAGAGTGAGTATACACTGAAGGTGTTTAACAGTGTCCCAGGCCGCTTACCCAGTAGACGTCAGTGGAACAACCCTCCCCCAATCCTGCACTGTGCTAGTTAAACAGATTTCCAAAAATTGCCACGTATTCCTGGGGCAGGGGCAGGAAGGAAGGTCAAGTCATCCTTGGTTCAGAGCTACTGAGCGAAAGGAGCCATAGTTTGAGGTAAGAATTGGGAATGCTTGGCTGAGGGATGTCTCAGTGGATAAAGCACTTGACAGAGAACCATATA